AAATACCCAGTTTGCTTTCCCCTCACTTGAGGGTACATATGAGTGACCCCGCATCGCCGTAGGTGCCGCACCGTGATCCCATCCCACCACGCTTAATAAAGGTGTGTATAGGCAATTTTTCCGGTGCGTCACGAACGCCGAAGTAGAGTTTAGGCGATTGCTCGCTTCGTCGTACATGTCAGACCGGTTTCCCATCCCACCACGCACAATAAAGACGTGTATAGGCGGTTTTCCGGTCCGCTGCGAACAACGAAAACGAGAATCTGAGTTTAGAAGATCCGTACCTTCGCGGGCTTTGGCGATGGAGGCTCGTGAATCGAGGCAACATATTTTTTTATTAATCTTAATTAATAATAATTAAATTTAATTAATTATAATTAATCAATAATTAATTAAAAATAACATAATTAATTATGATTAAATTTAATTAATCATAATTAATTAGAAGTTATTTTAATTAATTATAATAAAAAATAATTAACTAAATTAATTAAGATTAATTTCAATTAGTTAAAATTAATATAATATATTTTTTTGTTTCGGTTCCACAGATTTACGGGATTTGGCCAAAGAAGAGCTTGAAAGGGAGTGAGTTACCTTCTCTGACGGCGTGCTCCCTGGCTTGTTTCCGATCAAAATGTTTTAACTTCCGGTCCAACAGGTAGGGAATGCCGTCGAATGAGCAAAGTTGAACAGTACAGAGGGGCCGAAGAAGCACCCGAAAGGTAAAAAGTCACCCTCACGACGAACAAGCTCCCGTTTTGGCTTCCGATCAAAAGCCGTGACTTTCGATCTCTCAGAAGGGAGAGTCGTCGGAGCGGGTGAGGAGTTCGGCTTCGACAAGGTAGGCAAATCCCTTTCTCTCTCTCTCACGGGATGAAGGAGCAAGGTGAAGAAGCGACGGAACAGAGGGCTCGGCCGACTCTATTCGTGGAAGCAGAGGGAAGATCGGAGGGGGATTGATCGGGCTTGAGGAAAAGAGCAGATGCCAGTGAGCGAGCGGCCTCGTCCCTTCGGTCTTTTAATGACTCGAACGAGTCGTGCGAGCGAGGTGCGAGACGCGATGCTCGGTATGGCCTCAACGTGCGACAAGCGGCGCTGGATCGTGCGACGTGGGGCGGCAGGTAAGGGATTTGATCTTTTCTCTTTTTTTTTTTTTTTTTTGCTGGCCACGATTTAGGGTCAACAATATCGTATCTAATAAACACTCCACCCTGCTGGCTAGGTGCTCAAATCGCTCCCTGTAGTCGGCTATTGATCCCTCAAGCGTCAGAGCAAATAACTGCTCATAGAAATCTCCTCCCCGTTTGGTTTGGAAATGTTCTATTATGCAGTCCTTGAACTCCCTCCAGTTCCTGATAGGTCTCCTCTAATTTCTCCACTGATACCAAGACAGAGCTTTTCCTTCCAAGCACAAGCCTGCCGCTGTCAGCTTCTCCTCCTCCGTTAGCCCATTGACAGCGAAACATCGCTCCATCTTATAAATCCACCCATATGCATCTTCTTCTTCGATATAGACATCTTCAACTTCCTAACCTTATGATCGCTACCATTCCCCCTTATTCTTCTATAGTTTCCTCTCTCTCAAGCGCTATGCCCTCCCCACATTTCTTGGCCTTCCCTTGCCCTGCCATAGCCCAAACCCCCTTCGATATCCCCCCTTCTTTCTTCAGAATCAACACCTCGGTGGCCAATGTATCCCTCCTGGCGTTCCCCATATCCACCTCCTCTTTCTTCCCTCTGGATAGGCTCTAGATGGGGTGTTCTTCTTTTTCCTTCCATGATTTCCACCTCATCTTCCTCCCTACGAATTTCAAAATTCGTGCTTTTTTCTTCCACCCCTTTTGCCACAGAAGTCGCCGTTTGGTTTTGAATTTTTAATATTTTCTTTATCATGTACCGGAGATCGGCTACTTGTCCTTCCATGTAAGAAATCCAATCCTCCATAGTTGTTTTAATTTGATTTATCTTCCCTTCAAGCTTTTCCTCCAAAGTATCCACCTTCTTGGCCGCCATCACAATCCAGAATTTGTAGATTCACAAAATCTGGATTTGGGACTCTAAAAAAAGCAACTTTCCTCTTTTCCAGACCAAAAATCATTGCTGGACTTTGCCGAAAACAACCCTCCACCGATCCCAAGACTTGCTCTGATACCAATTTGATAGGAAATACTTGAGTTCACAAGTAATCCTATCGGATCTACTTGAGTTCGCAAGCAAACCTAACAGTAATCGGTAAAAATAGCGAGAAAAAAGAAGAAATCGTGGTGGAAGAACAATAAAACGATAGCAAAAATTATAAAAAACAAAGAGAAACAAGAACAAAGCAAAGATACAACAGATCCTCAATTCGAGAGGAGAATCATCTCCCAAATCTCTATACAAGAGAGTCTAGAGCCCATGTCGCCAAGAAACCCTAATTCCAATCAATAAAATCATAATCTCTCATAATCCCTCTCATCTTCTTTAATACAAAGCTTTCCTAATCTAATTTCCCTCCCAAGACCTAGCCACCCCCTCCTTTTAAATTTCAAATCCATTGGATAAGTGGGGCCCGCCCTATGGGCGGGCCAAGCCAAGGAAGGCAAACTGATTCCGCCTCCTATAAACTTGCTAAACCGGCCGGTGCAGCCTGAACCGGCATATCAGCACAATAACCATATCTTCTTTTTTTTATAAGGATACAAGATAGTTCTTCAAGTGTAGCAAGGCATTTCTTGTTTTGTAAGAAAATGATGTTTTTCGTAGAAAACTAATGAGTTAATTGTTATCTTGCAGATGGAAACAGATAGCAACCAAATAAAATTTCTAGTAGTGTTTAATAGAAAAATTTATTGCATCCATATAAAAATTCTAATCAAGGCATCTCATCCTAAACAATTTCAAAGAATGCCTAACCACAGTTGAAATTAAATGAAACTTTAGCGCCATAACATGATCCATTTAAGATAAAAAGCACAACAAGATGCTTAAAAAAATATTCCTTTATGCCCAAGAATTTGCATGACTGTACAGTAGCGTTTAACAAGATTTAGACAAGTATGATGATAGAAATAAACCAAGGGTAGGCAGCCAAAAAAAGTATTTAAAAAATGAAGCTTTATCAGCCTATCATAAAACGTCAAGAGAAAAAAAAAACGAGGAAAACATAAATATAAACCACAGATAAATGTAGCATCAAATGTATGTCATTTGGAAGGCAACCTTCAAAATAAATAAATAAATTAATAAGAAGGCAGGTTAAGAGGGACAAATAAGCCATATGAAATCTGTCAAAACTATAATTTTCGATTGTCTTCATCTATTCAAAAAGTTTATTAAGGGCTCATTTGGTTTGTTGCACATGTAAAGAATGCTTTAAAAAATGAAGTTGTTTCCACGTATTTTGAAAGCAAAAATGAAAAGAAGAATTTTGAAGGTTTTCGACTTTTAGTAGAGCTAAAATTTACATTTATAACTTCATTCAACCAAATGATAGAATACAATAAATTCAGCATTTATCAATACATTTTTTACTAATTTGAAGCAAACAAATGAGCCCTTAATATAAATATCCAATGACCTACCAATAACCTAATGATTAACAATGACTTGTTATGCAATAGGTCAAATATTGACACATGGCATTGTTTCAATGGTGGTCATTAAACTGATCTTCATTACTGAAAAATGTATCAATTTTATATGAATAAATGTTATCCCAGTAGAGTCACATTAGTTGCTCAATATCACATGTTCCATATGTATAATACATACACAAATAAGTTCTAAATAAAACACACATCAAAAGAATAATATAATTAATCATATAAACTACTTCTCTTATAGAATAATTCCTTATTTTATTCAAAGTTCAGCAACTAAACAAAATTTTTTGCCAAGTGAAGCAGTAAAATATTGCATAGTAAAAATGAGAGGATAATGCTATATTTGCTCATCTGACAGCATACATTTTATTTTATCATAGTAAAGAAACCTAAAAAAATAATATGCCATCAATGAACCAAACTATTGCATACTAAACATTAGGGGATTATAGTTTATTATAGTTACTAATTAACATGGCTCACCATGTCAGCTTACTTTATAATTAATATGAATAGCCTGTGTTACAACATAAACATACTTTGCTGTCATGATAGGAAGAACCAAATCAGATCTGCAAATCTATTGTCAAGAGAACCACATAAGAAGATACAAGACTACATAAATAACCAATTCTGTACCATATTTATTAATTTTTAGCATAAGCAATGAAAATGTTAGGGGATTCTTCATCTTCACACTTCAGATGAGCACAAAATTTCTAGGATGTGTTAGATCAATCTGCATGTAACTTCAAGGAACATATATACCCATAAGATATAGAGCAAGAGTTTTAATAAGAATAAGAACTGCCAATTTAGGAAAATACGCAGCTAAATTTTGAAGCTAAAAGGAAATACTGATTCCTAAAGCGTTGAGGCCTGGGCTACTTGGTGAGTAGAACCCCCACAAAAGATATATTTAGGCCATAAATCTGGCAACTTAACTCACTGTTACTCAAGTTCATTTGCTATAATTCATATTCAGATTCTCTACTGTTACCATGGTGCTATAGAGATACTCTTAACCAATCCTAACGTCCAATCCACTTTAAAATGATTAATTAGTCTAAACCAAAATGAATTTACACAAGAAACTATTAGAGTTAATTCCAACCTCCCATAGTGAATTAGATAGCAGATATTGGTCAATTGTTAAGCATCCAACAATTGCTGGCACTATCTTCCCACTATCTTCCCAAAAAATCCATCTTTTTTATATATTAAATGTGCGTTGAACAATTTTGGTTACCAATTCTCTGTTTTTCAATTCCCCTCTGTTTTCTTGGGCTCTACTCCCAACAACCAAAAGTATATGGACCGGTTGAGATGAATCGACTGCAACTCCACAGGATTCTCGCCTTTATCAAATAAAGATGTCATTAGAGAGAAATATGCAATGAAATGGTAATAAACCTAAAATCCTTGGTCGTTATTCCATATGAAGCGGGATCAATCTGAGCTTGAGACGACCCCGCCACTGCTGCAGAACCAAAAGGAAGGCCATGCAAACTCCCACTGCAGGAGCCGCTGCCGGAGGTCCCACCAACAGTAGCAGCAAGTGGAATAGTCGCCATCGACGACAGTGACTGAGACTGAGAAACAGTTTGAGAAATTTCCACATGCTTTCTTGAACGATTGCGGCCCCTATGCATGTGCCGCTCACAGTACTTTGAATCTGGGTAAGCGTCTTTAGAACACCGCCATTTCTTCCCATCAGTTCTGCGACATCGACCAGGCTCTGGATCCGGCTTCTTCCCGTAGAAAGAGCAATAACTCACTGAAGAACAAACAAGAGATAGAAGAAAAAAAAAAAAAACATTGGACAAAAATTGTAGAAAGTCGCAGATCTGGAAATGGTAATCAAAAGGAAAAAAAATAAAGTACAAAAAAAAAAACCAATATAAAACAAAATTGAATAGAATAGAATAAACCCTATGAATCAATCAGGAGAAGCAGAAAAGACTAATAATACAGAGCAGATTCATTGGAGAGAGACAGGATAAATCAACTGAAATGAGGAATCAATATAAGAAAAGAACAATCTTCCAACATTTTAAAATGCTGAGAATATAATAATTCGATGCTTTAGGGGACGGATAGGAATAGAACTGAATCACTAATCTGGTGAATCTATCAGTAGATGCAGAAAAGACAATATCAATATAGAGCATATACAATGAAGAGATGCACAACATATCCGAAAGGAGCTGTTAACATAAGCAAAGATGAAACTTAACTATTTTAAAAACATCAAATAAGAATGCTGAAACTCTCGAAGCATACAACCGGAACGTGAAAAGAGCTGACACGAGTAGTGTTAACACCTTTATGCGAGGAACCAAAAAAAGCAGTTGAGAAAACCAAGAGAAACAGAACAAAACTAAGTCACTTGCACTGTGAATCAATCAGAAGAAGCTCAAAAGATAATAATAAACAAAAAACAACCTTCCGTAATTTTAGAACACCAAATCAGAATGTTGAAACTCCCGAATCAAGACAAAAGTGAAGATCTCTTACGAGAAGAATGGGAAGAGAAGCTTGCCGCCATTGACTCATAGCTTCTTCGAATCGGGATCAGGAGTTCAGGCGGAACAGGGATTCCAGCAATAAGATACTTAAAAATGAGGGCTTGATGTTCAAGCTCTTCCCATTGCGATGCAGTGAACGGCGGCCGGTAATCCATTCTCAAACTTGCTGCTGGCGCACTATTCATCTGTTTCTCCGACGTTATCTTATTCTACTCGGAAACAAAGCGTAAAGAGTGGGTAAAAGTTGCAAATGTGCTTAGACACAACAAAGTGCAGCAGATAGCAGCGAAACGAATGGCTTCGCCATTATAGTATAGAAGAATGGTGGGAGATTGCAAAGGGAAATAGAACAGTAGTGAGTGAAAGATTGAGCGAGATGGAGCTATGTGATGCTACTGCTAGGTATTATAGCTGAGGATAGAGGAATACAGAAGATGCTTTTTCGTTTTTTAGTATGATATTTCCTTTCTCGTAGCATAACTACAGATGACCTGAGCATTATTATTATTATTATTATTATTATTTTCCTGGTATGAAATTCGAGTTTTAGATAACGTTTTGAAAATCGGATCAGATCGGTCAGTTCAACCGTTCATTATCTTTGCAACAACGTTTCATTACCATTTTAAAAAAGCTTCAAATGTTACAATTTTTATATATAACCATGCTTTTATATTGGCTTGGTTAAGAAAAGGAAAGGTTTGACTGAAATTGTAAAGTCAAGAGTAACCAGATTTGCAACAACGTTCATTACCTTAAGAAGTGTCCATCATTATAAACATGATTTGCAAGCATTCATCACCAGCAAGGCTTACATTGATTCAAAGCTAAGTAAGACAATGAAGGGGGAAGAGACAGCCTCAATTATTTTGGATGCAAAATTCTGAAATGACAGCTTCATAATTTATAAATTATCAGGGCCCCTAATTAGGTTGTTAAGAATTGTTGATGCATATGAAAACCATCTCTTGGATACCTTTATGGCTGTATGTACAGAGCTAGAAAAGCAATGAAGACTATGTTTAGAAATAATAAAAGAATGTACAAGCCTTTCACTAGTATAATCAAGAGAAGATGGGATAATCAACTAAGACAAGGGATATATTCAACAGCTTATTTTCTCAACCCTCATTTTCAGTATGACAGAGAAAATTATTGCAACAAGCCTTGAGTTTTGCAAGGTCTAATAGAATTGATTGGCAATAAAGATATATGTCCAAAATCATCTTTGGCAATGAATGAGGTGAGGCTTTTCCGTGATAATTTAGGAAGTTTTGGTATGCCCATTGCATCAACCTTAGCAAAAGAAATGCAACCAAGTAAGATGACAAAATTTTGAGATTTCATTTTAATATATATTTGAACAAATTAATGTATGTTTATTAATTTATAGATGAATGGTGGAGGATGTTCGGCTCTAGTGCACCAAACTTATAGAAATTGGCTATTATAATTCTTAGTCAGACATCATCTTCATCAGGTTGTGAGAGGAACTTGAGTGTGTTTGAGCATATTCATACAAATAGAAGAAATCATCTTGAGTACCAAAGGCTAAATGATCTTGTCTATGTTCGTTACAATCTTAATTTAAGAAATAGGTACTATTTGAAACTTCTTTAATTTTTTTTTTAAATAATGATGCACATTTTATTATTAATTTTTTATAATAATTATGTAGCTTGCAGCTTAGAAAAAGAAGTTATGATCCTTTGGATTATGCAAGTATTCAACTTGTTGATTTCTGGATTCTTGATGATGAACCAACTCCAGAATTGCATTTAGAAGACTTGGAGTCGAAAATTTACAAAGATGATACAATTCCTATAAATATAGAACCAAACTTAACATCATCTACACCAACCCCAAGTAAGATTGTTGATTAACTTATATCTTTTGAGTGTAGTATTAAATATAGACTTATTATTTCATATTAATAATTTGCATATGAAGACAACTTATCTAATATATGTGATGAAGATGACATACCTTGTGAGGATGCAGAAGTATTTGGGATGCAAGATTTTGATGAAGAAGAGTTTGAGAATCCATCATTCGATCACACAAATTTAGTGGATGATTATTAGATTCATTATGAGTGTTTTGAGTTTTGAGTTTTTTATATGTAAAGTTGTAAATTGATATAAACTGATTACTTTTTTGTCTCTATGGTATTAAGTTAAAACTTTTTTATATTTATGAATTTTGAGTTTGTCTTATCAATAAAGTATTATAATTTTGCTAAAAGTTATGAAGATGTATGTATATGTTGCCAATTTAATATTTTTTAATGTCTATTTTGTTATATATTTTACTTCATTTTCTTTTGCTCATTTCATTTTTTAACAATTTCACATGATAGAGAAGGAGAATTGAAGATGGTTTCATTCATCAACTTCTAACACACAATGGAGCTCAACAAAAGGTATGTTATTTACTTATTTGCTTATGTTTTCTAAACTTCATTGATGCCATATTTATATTATTTGATTAGTTTGATATGAAAATGAAATGCATAGTGAATGTGTTAGAGGAATTTTTTTCATTTATTTTATAATTTTTAATATTATTATTATTTATTATGTCATCCGATTCGACGGTTCGAACCGGTCAAACCCTGAACCTCTCCTTCTTCCGATCTGTTGTTCGGTCTGGTTTTCAAAATGTTGGTTTTAGATGGAGGAATTAATTTTCTTCAACCCGAACACTCCATCCCTTAACCTACGGAATAGATGAGTAGGGAGGATCCTCCCCTACAAAGCAGTAATATAATGTAGAATTTATAATTTGAATTTTTTTAAAAAATTAACAATAAATAAATAAATAAATAAATTAGTTAATATATAATGTAATTGTTAAGTTTTTTAAAAGCTGTATTAAACAGGCCATGATGAGCCGGTTGGCCGATCGGTTTTGATTCTTATAAGAACTGGCGTCAACTGAAGTCATCTCAGATAAAAAAGAACCGGCTGTCAAACTGTTCACCAGACAATCCAAAAATGGTTTTGAAAAACTTGGTGAAAGTGTTAAAGTTGAATTTTAGTCATTCGATCCAAATCTAACACCATCCTAAATTTAATATTAATAATTTTTTCTCCCCTTTCGTTTATTCTTCATCCGAACACTATCTCGACTCCTGCACTTGCATTTTATTCCCCTCCCTGTCTCAGTGAAATTCATCCATGCTTCTCAATCATGGATGGCGGTCGGAGCTTCTCGACGGTTCGGGTGTGCTCATTCCTCCTTACTCATATGGGCTCCAAAAATTCCACAGTGCTAACCCAGCCTCTCCACGCCAGTCTCTTTTTCTTTTATTGATATTGATGGTGGAGAGTTTTAATTAGCTTAGGTTCCGAGTGAATTATCAAAAGGCATATTGATAAGACACTACCCAGAGATTTTGCCCTCATTTTATTAGGACTTTTGTTTATCCGAGTTCTGGTTTCCTATAGCTTCTTCAATCTGAAATTGTGGTCGGCCATTCATCTTTTGCTGACATTATTTTTTCTTATATTTTATCTCCTTCTTTAATTATAGGTATAGGAGATGACACGATCATCTTTACAGATTTCTTTTTCGGACAAACTAAAACGCTATTTGATAGCGTGAATACACCGTCTTTGTATTTCTTTTAAAACCAGTCTTTGATGACATAACAATCTTCAATAGGGTTGCTGATAACTCTGTTGCAATTTTGTTTTCATAACTATGTTTTTATATCATGTATGTTTTTATGATTCCAGAATATTATTGTATTGATTATTATTTTCTCCTAACATATATTAAAAATATTTCTTTTGTTATTTGTGTGTACTAACATTTTAGAAAAATCACACCAGATTGGTGAAGGCTTCAAATGAGATTAGATTAATGTTTATTATTTTTGAAGTCTGTAATTTTTATATATTTTTCGAGTTTGGGAGGGTGTGATTATAATTGAGTAACATGCACACACACACACACACACACACACTGTGGGAATAAATTTTTTTTTAACTAATCATACTGTATGATTTTAGATCATAGGGGACGATTTAGCTTAAGCGTTCCACCAAAAAGCAGTTAATCTAATCATGCAGAGAAAAAAAAAACTCTAAGTATTGTATTGTACGAAGTTGCCTTTGTACAGACGACATCCAAAGTACTAAATGGGTGCGTATCTTTTCATCCATACGAATAGGTTAATTTTTTGAAATATTCATAGACATCCAGAGTATGAAATTAGTGCGCATCATTTCGTCCGTACGAATAGGTAAATTTTTTAAACTGTTTGTACTGTACGAACTTGTGTTCGTACTGTACGAACTTGTATTAGTATTGACAACTTCTAGAGTATGAAATGGGCTCATCCATTTTTGTATCGAACGAAGTATGATTTGGTTAAAACAGTTCATGTTGTATGATATTGGATTTGTACAAACGACTTCTAATGTATGAAATCAGTTCGTATAGACTCGTATCGAACAATTTGATTCAATTTTGAACTAATCGTACTATACGATGTCAGTTTGTACACATGCAAATTAGAGTACAAAATCAATTCATACATGAGCGTACGAGCAAAATTTGTATTGATCGTACATATGTTGTGCGATAATACTATACAATCATGGATGGTCAAATTAAAATTTTTAATTTTATGTATAGTTTTTCATGCCTTTCATATATTAAGTCCTTAAAAATTGATTGGAACGAATCCTTATTCATATTTTCTATGAGAGCAAGTGTGAGAGTTCTTTCAGAGAGTGTTTGAGAGTGTGGAAAGAGATCTTGCAAGTGAAATTTGTGAAGGGTTCATAAGGCTGTCCAAAGGTGAGGATCTCTTTGTAAGTTTTGTCGAATCTTTTCCTTACTTCTTTGAAGTTTCTCAAGAGAATATCATTGGAGAATATCCGATTCTTTGCCAATACCAAGAGGATGTGAAAGGATGATAATTCTCTACCGACTCCAGGATGGTGTGAAAGGACGACGGTTCTCTGTCAACACCAAGAGGGTATAAAAGGATGATAGTTCTTTACTGACAGTTGGAGAGTGTAGAAGGATGATGGTACTCTACTGCACTGGAGATTGGTGGAAGAGAGGTGATTTTTAAAGGCTTCTCCACCTTACTGTGGGAATAAAAGGAGAGTCACTTTGGTAATAGTACAATTCTTGAAGAGGGAGTCTTTAAGGAGTAGAAGTAGGTCTAGTTGGACTAAACCACTAGAAATTTATGTATTTTTACTTTACCACATTTTTATTTTTTCTACACGTTTTATTTTTTGTGGTTGAAAAGTTTTTAGTTTGATAAAAAAATTTTATTATGCTAAAATTATAAAACTATTTTCTATAAAATTTCCAAGAGGTTTTTTTAAAATTACCAATTTATCCCCCCCCCCCCCTTAGCATTAGGACAATTACTTTAGGTCTAACAACATATACAGAGTTTCAAGTGGTATTAGAGCCTACTTTTAAAAAC